CCGCCCCTGCCGGCCGCGCCCAGCGGCTAGTCCCGCCCGCCCAGCCCGGAAACGCCAGGCCATACCCCTGCCTTGCTGCTGCTGCTCACCAGTGGTCTCGAAGCCCTCCACGAACAGCATGCCAATCTCTGACAGCATGCGGTCCTCGCTGATATCAGGGTGCTCCTGCAGCACGCGCCAGACCTGGGCGGCAAAATCGTGCGCGACGGTGTGTGAAGCACGCGGGAGCAGCGCCCTTCGATAGCGCGTCGCAGAGGCGATGGAGGCGAACTTGCCTTGTGTCCTGCCAGCAAGACAATCGAGCATGCGAGGCCCGCAGGCAGGCATACACAGATACACACATGGACGCGCAGCCGCCTGCACGCACAGCACACACTCGCCCTTGCAGGCATACTCAGGGCAAGACCTCATGCAACAACACACACACAGACACACACAGACACACACACACACACACACACACACACAAACACCACCGCCTAATCACCTGGGCCCCGATGTCCATGTTGTCGTCGGCCGGCTGCCCGTCCTGCCTGACCTTGTTCAGCAGGAACCTCATCTGATCCTGGAACACCTTGAAGGCGACAGCACCTGGATAGAAGAGAGTGGGGATAAGAATTTGAGCCCAAGGCCGGCCAAAGTGCATTGAGCGTCTCGGCGTGCCCTGAGGAGCATCGAGGGCGCGACTGTAGCGGGTGGCGTTTACACGCCCGCGTGTGATGTGTGCGCCGCCCCAGCTCACCCTTGGGGCCGGTCTTGAACATGCCAGGCGCCAGCTCGCGCACCGGGTTGGCGATCCGCAGCATGACCTCCGTGAAGCAGCGCGGCAGCACGCGCTGCGGGCAGGAGGGGAGGGTGGTGGGTGGGGTCAGCGCGACGGTTCAACGGTGCAATCAGCGCGAGGCTGCTGGAGCACACCCATATGAGCCCACTTTGCAATCATGAGGCACTCCAACATCAGATCAATGAAATCATAAGAGATCACATACGGACGTGTGACTCACCAGCAGGTGGTCGTATGGGGGGACGTCCTGCTTGACGCTCTCGTAGTCATGGCCAAAGCCGGCCAGTCCGATGATGTCCAGCGTCACCCGCAGCGCAGCCTGGTCCACGTCAATGGAGGCCCCGGGGCCCTGCACCGCCAGGCGTGAGATGAGCTGCGGCGAGGGGGGCCAGGGGCGGGGGGTTGCAAGCAGGGGTCGGTTGGGGCAGGAGAAAGCGGCCCTGGGAGCTTGGTTAGGGGGAGTTAAGGACCGCAATGCATACTGCCATCGCCTCAAACCAACCTGCTTGCTTGCAAGCCTGATTGCACCAGACATCCTTGGCTCCATGCCTCGTGCTCCAGATCAGATCAAGTGATATCAGATCAGGCTGTCCCTCACCTCATTCACGCGGCTGACCACCATGGGGAACTTCTTCTTGATGTTCTGGAACGCGAACGAGACGGCCACGCCCTTGCGGATCGCCTTCCACTTCTCGTCGGCCGGCGCGGTCAGCAGGTTGGGCTGGCCGTGGGGCTCGCACATCTGCAGTTAAAGAGGGGGGTGGCCACAGAGGGGGCTCATGTAACTGCGCCCGGGGCCAAATGCGTCCTGGCACGTGTCGGCGGGCAGAACTTGCATGCATCCGAAACGACTGCGACCGCCGCTGCCATCGGGCCCCGCTGTGCGACCGGCCAGCGCCTTGCTCAACCCCTGTGCCTGGCAGCGCATGCCGCTGCCAACTCCACTCGCTGTCTGCTGCAGCGCATGCTCGTACGCCATCCCGCCTTGCGGCGGCGGCGGCAGCAGCAGCAGCAGCAGCAGCAGCAGCAGCAGCAGCAGCAGCAGCAGCAGCAGCGGCAGCAGCGGCAGCAACAGCAGCAGCAGCAGCAGCGGCGGCGTCGGCGGCAGCAGTAGCAGCGGCAGCAGCAGCGGCAGGAGCAGCAGCAGCGGCAGCGGCAGCGGCGGCAGCGCACCTTGTTGATGGGGGCGTATGCCATGGCCGCCTTGTCCAGGGCGCCCTCCCCGCGGCCCATGATCGTGCCCAGCGCTAGCGGGTCTGCGGCGGGCGCGGTAGGGAGGCGGCGCTACACCTGGGTAACTGATCCGAGCGCAGGGGGACGCTTCGCTGCTACTCTTCCGGCGGAATTTGTGACAGGATGTGAAAACTGGCGCGCCACGGCCGCGGCCACGGAACAGTGCGAGCGACCTGACCGTCTGGTTGCTTGACGATCCCACCCACCTGTCACCACGAGAGCCTCGCGCCAGAGGAACTTGAGTCGGTAGATGCCGCCTGCGGGTTGGGTCGCCGCGCAATCATTTGTGATGCAACAATTTGGGCGAAGCATCTCGCCGCCCGCCCTCCGACCCCTGCAGCGCTATTAATTACCGCCACTGGTGGGGGCCAAGGCTGCGCAAACGAGATCAGCGATGCGATTTCAACTGCCGCCACTGCGGCCGCGTTTGGTAGGGCTGAGACCCCTTAGTGCAGCCATGCCCCCCAAGTGCGGGCCAGCGGCCGAGCAGGCGGCGCGGCGATGGCAGCGGCTGGCCGGGCAGGCGCGGCGGCTGGAGGGCGGTGGGGGCCGCACCATACTGGTCGGACCACTCAGTCAGGACTCTGTGGAAGTCTGGGCGCAGGCAGGGCAGCACGTTGCCGACGACTGGCAGCGCCTTGGGCCAGGGCCCAGGAATCTTGTCCAAGTCAAAGTTTGCACGCCTGCACAGCGGCGGCCGGGGAGGTTGGGTTGGCGCACGTGATCAGAGGACGAGGCTCCAGCCGCAGGGGGGGGGTCCGCATGGGGCAGCTGCTGTGGCGAAGAACCGTGCCCTACGCGGGGCTTCGGCAGGGGTCGGAGAGGCGCGGAGTGCAACGTGTGCCCGTCGCGCGCATCACAGGGGGTGTGATGCGCTGATTCGCGTGGCCGGCTGAGGCGCCGCGGGCGCGGGGTGCCCGACGGGCATGCTCACCTCGAAAGCACCCAGTAAGCAAAGAACAGCGCTGCAGCGGTGGCGAGCGCCGCTGCGACCTCCCATGACACGGGCTCCAGGCCTGCTGTGCCCAGCGACGGCCGCAGTCCCAAGTAGTCCAGCACGCGGCCGGGCACATCTGCTAACGCCATCACACCAAAGTCACCCGCGAGCGGGCCGTGGGCCGAGAGGCAGCGCCGCGCGCAGCGTGCGAGTTGCACGTAGGGGCTGATGCACACGGGGCCGCGCTGGCTGTGCCTAGCTCTTGAGAGCGATAACACTGTACTTTATGCTACTGCGATCGCTCTGTCGGGCTCGACAAGCCGTTCTACTCGCCGGCAGCCCCACACTTGCACTACGATGAAGCCGGGAACGACCAGGTGGTGTGTGCAAAGTGGCACGGAGACGTGAAGGATGCTTTTGATATTGCTTGTAATCATACGCGCCCTTGATTACGAGTATCAGCCACAAATGACACTTGTCACCCCACCGTGGAGCAAGTTGAAAAATCGTCTCGGACCACCGAGTGTGCTTGAAAGCTTGATATAGATTGAAAATAATCATGCTTTGAGCCGTGCAAAAGCCCCTCAGCGCAATATCAAGCTGGAATTCTGCGATCATGCCACGCGGCGTGGCGAACATCCACATGAAACTTACTTTGATATTATAGCTGGTCATCTGAGGGCTGTACGCGTTGCAAGCAGCGGGGCCAGCACTCTCGTGTTTGGCTTCGAAACGGGCAGGCCGGGGTTGAAGGGCGCGAGCACAGCGTCGCAAAAGTCTGTATGTACTTAATCCTTAGGCACACGGCGGTTGCAGGCCGACAAAGCTGAGGGCAACTGCAGGCCTGGTGACCTGTTGGCAACCACAACTGTCCCGGCCAACTGTCCATGGGATGACTGGCGCACATCTCAACAGCGATTGATGACTCTGCACTGATCACTCCTGGCAAGATTGAACCACGGCAGAATGTGGGAGGGGGCAGCGACACAAAATCAGCTGCCTTATCAGTGGCACCTGATAGTGGCAGACCAGGTGTGGGTTGCAAGCAAACACAAGCCCGGTAGTGAAACAGGCTGTGCTTGCGACCACAAACTGGGTTTACGTACTCATCAATGCTGCCGCTGCTTGTCAATGTGGTCGTGTAGACGGCCTGTACATATGACCTTTGTGACAAACGAGACCAACAATGGCCTATCATAAGACATGGGACGGCAAGCCAGCGCGGCCAACTGCGCGCATATCTTTGTCAGTGGAGACTTACAAGGTTTGATGTTGATATTCAGGGTAGGTTGCATGCAGGACACTGCAACTCGGTGTCACAGGTCGAGATGTGCTGGCTTGTTCGATCACGTTCGTGGCAGCTGGCACTGCGCACATGACCAATTGCTTGCGAAGCCCCCTGGTTCTGAGAGCATGCAAAGGCACGTGCGCAGAGCACACACGCCAGCGGTTGGCATCTTGCCCACTCCATTGCCGCAGCACCACGGAGACGCTGCGGGCGGTTGAGCCCAGTGCCGCACGGTCTGCCACAGCTTCCGTGCGTCACCACGGCTCCAGGATGATGGGCAACAAGATTCTTTGCTATCACACCCTTCGCCGCTGAAATTTGGCACCCGTGCATGGCCCCCGGTCCGCTGACCGCAAGGAAGAGTGGCACTGCGCAACAGGCTGAGCGGTCACGCCTTGCGGGCAGCACCGAAGTCTATCAACGTCAGAGCGTGTTGTCGGCAATCGTTTCGTTCAAGTTTTCAACAATTATTCTTGCGAGTCATCTTGTCGACGCTCGCTGTGCCTGCAGATTGTGCCGCGCAGACTGTGCTCGTCGTCGCGCGGGCGGCCTCTGGTTATTACGCATTTGGCGCATTCTTTAGCAGCACTCTCGTTACACCAACCACGCACCTCGTGCAGAACGTCGTCGCCCGTCACACGCAAGCCGTGTGCTCTGCTGCGCTGCAGTGTGCTCTCCCAGTGGCCAGTGATGCGTGTGGTTCGCTGACCCAGGACCGGCTCGCCCAATCAGGCAGTAGTGCGTACCGGCTGACATGGATCTATTTGGGTCCTGGGGCAGTTCAGCAGACGCCCGCAGCGGCTGCAGGCACGGTGCCGCCCGCATCAAGCGCCTCGCCCCTGTGCAGTGCGGCGCAGTGTGGGGCAGCCATCCCTGCGGCCTCCTCGCGCCCCACCAGGGCAGCGACGCGCCCAGCGACCCGCAGGACTCGGCAGTCGACTGCCAGCCGCCCCCGTTGCCGCAGCAGCCGGGGCGGCTGCGCTTGAGGGCACGCGCTTTGGGGGCCGTCGAAGCTGCGAGCCCGGGGAGCTGTGGCGCGCGCGGCGGCGGTCTGGTGGACCGGGGGCCCTCCATGGCTGGTAAGCACGGGACCGCACCTTGTGACTGCACGCAGCTTTGACTGCTTTGACTGCTTTGACTGGCGGGCTCCTTGGGATGTGCAACGGGCCTCGCGGCGCGCAGCGGAGGGGGCCGACGCGAGCAGCAAACGGGACAGCAGGTCTCTGCGCCTGCATAGACCTGCGTGCCACCCTGCGTGCCACCTTGCAGCTGAATCGCCAACCCGTGGCGCCCCCGCTCCCTCCGGCATGAGCGGCAATGATACCCGAGCACTCTGCCTCATTCCTACCACCCATTTACACCCCCCTCGCGCTCATGATGCTGTTGGGCCCTGCGCTCCCGCTCCTCCAGGCCGCGCAGTGCTCGTCGTGTCTGGCCTGGGTGCCGGCGGCTCGGCGGAGGCCGCGGTCGCGCTGCCCCCCGGCCTGCGGCTCGCCGCCGCAGACAGCGGCAAGCTTGACCTGCGCCTGCAGCTGCTGGATATCTCTGCCGCCTGGCACGCCCCCGGCGCCGCCGCGCGCCGCGGCGCCCGCGGCGGCCCCGGGCCGTCCGCGGAGCTGCTGCCGGCGCGCGTGCCCGCCGCCGGCTGGGC